GAAAGAAAGAAAGAAAGAAAGAAAGAAAGAAAGAAAGAAAGAAAGAATTCTTTATTGGCCAAGTGTGATTGGACACACAAGGAATTTGTCTTGGTGCAAATACTCTCAGTATACATAAAAGAAAGATACATTCATCAAGAGTCAGGAATCATAGGGTACAATAAGCAATCAAATCATACTAGGAAACAGTCAATAAAAATCATAAAGACATAAGCAACACAATTACAGTCATACAGTCATAAGTGGGAGGAGATGGGTGAAAGGAAGGATGAGAGGAGTAAGAGTAATGCAGACTTAGTAAATAGTTGGACAGTGTTGAGGGAATTATTTGTTTAGCAGAGTGATGGCGTTCGGGGAAAAAACTGTTCTTGTGTCCAGCTGTTCTGGTGTGCAGTGCTCTGTAGTGTCGTTTTGAGGGTACGATATCAAAGCCTTTGGCTTCAGGTGTGTTATGGCACTGGAAAACTTCAAATCTGACTCACTTAAGGAATGTTCTCAATAGATTTTGTCTGCAATGAATGAAGATCCTATTGTTTTTCTACGCATTTCTTATTTGGAGGGCTACAGGTAGCCTAGATCGTCCAGGAATATAGGCTGATGTGCTCAAAAGGCATTTTGCTGTGAATTAATTACATTTCTTCCAAAGATGTTACACTTATTACTAATACACTACTGAGCTAAGTTGACAATATTGTTAATGTAGGGATAAGTCATATGGTACCCAAAATATACTTTTTGGTTGCCTTCTAGTTTTCTGGTCCATCTGACTTTTTTAAATAGACAGAAAGCTGATCTACTACAGAACAAACCATTTTGCAGTTTTTAACTTTTATTATAAGCTTCCCTGACTCACTGTATTAGTGAGATGGGCAACACCGAAATCCCATAAATAAGCAAATTAGCCTTCAGCATCTTACTTATTTGCAAGCATGATCTGAGGTCTCACAAAATCCCACCAGAATGATAGAAAGCATGTGTGAGTTGGAGGGTTAATTTATCATCTGGTACATGGATGTTTTGTGATTGGCCACCACAACCCTGGGCAATCATTTTGTGAACAAGCAGATCACACTTTGTAAGCTCCTCACACGTATCTAAAATTTTAAAGGAGCCTCCAGGTCAAAACTTTTGCTATCCCTTTGGCAAAGATCTATGCAGCATATGACTTGGATAGCTGATAGATTATCTCCCTTCTGAGCCCACCTAGAAATTGAAGGCAAGACAAAAGGCTTTCTAGAAGGTGCTGCCCTTGCCAGATTTGCCATGTGATAACTCAAGGGAGAATATTTTTTTTTATTACAGGAGCCTGAATAATAGAATTCCCTCTTGGTTTATTACATCTGGCACCACCCCAAGGCTTGTTAGCTTTCTGTGTCAATTAATCACCTCCTTACTCACCCAGCCTTCGGCTACTTCATATTATTATTTAATTGTTGTCATTGTTGTTATGGTTCTCTTTTTTGGTTTTAACTCTCCCCAATCTTCTACTTTTTTAAGGATTTGCTTTGCACTACTATGTTCTGGATATTTTTTTTTAAAGAGTAAACAACTGTGTGAATAAAATAAATGTACACTCAATCAGTCTCGACAGACCAGAGGAGTGTGCAGGAGTGGTTGCAAATGGCAAATATCTGGACAATCAAAGCTCCACCCCTTTTAATGTGCTTTGCATACCTGCCATACACATAAAAGGGACAAAGCTTCACCTATCCAGTCAGACCCACCATTTTCATTTTGCTGACTACATTTGCAGATGTCCCTGGCTGAAGCCAGAAAAACTTCTAGTGGCTCTCCAGGTCAAGTTATCCATTCAGATTAAACAGAGGCAATACTTCTCCCATTAGCAATGGGATCCTGTGAAGAAGGAAGGAGAGCCTTGCTATCTCAACACTGTCTGGGCAGTGTAAAAAAAAAAAAGCAATAGACTTATATATACTGCTTCACAGTGCTTTATAGCCCTCGCTAAGCAGTTTACAGAGTCAGCATACTGGCCCTAACAATCTGGGTCCTCATTTTACTGACGTTGGAAGGATGGAAGGCTGAGTCAACCTTGAACCTCTCGGATCAAATTGCTGGCAGTCAGCAGAATTAGCCTGCAATACTGCATTCTAACCACTGCGTCACCACGGCCCAGCTAATAAGAGTTGCCAACCTTCATACGGTGAGCTTATAAAGACATTACAGAATGGCCCCTCGGCCAGGTAAGGTGTGAAACAGAAAAAAATGTCTAACTAATAGTGCAGGTTTATATGACACAACGTCTTCTAAATGCACCAAAGGAGAGCTTCCATTTGTGGATACAACTTAACATTTCTGGAGAACTTATCAGAGAAGGTAAATTTACCCAGGATATTTTTGAGTTTGTGATCAGTATAGTTAAGATGTTCCTCTTTTGAACAGTTTCGAGGACAAGGGTCTTCAAACTTGGCAAGTTTAAAACTTGTGGACTTCAAGTCCCAGAATTCCTGAGCTAACATGACTGGAAGAGGAATTCTGGAAGTTCAAATCCACAAGTCTTAAATCTTTCAAGTTCGAAGACCCCGGTTCAAGGGCAATAGGTTGATATCTGTTCTGGAATTGCAGGCAAGCTGTTCTTAGAATTTTAATATGTGCCCCCCTGTCTCTTAAGCTTTTCTGCCTTCTTCCTCCTGGACTGAGAGGAAGTTCCAGTGTCAAAGGCCAAGGACTTCTGGGTTCTGTTAGATGACGCACTCTACCTTCAATCACTAATAGAAGCAACCATGAGAAAGTGTCATTTTTAGTTATTGAACATCTATCAGATCCAGCAGTTCCTGCTAGTGAGGTTGCACATTTACCCATTCAGGTGCTGGTAGTCTCTTCCTACTACAGTACTCTATGGATAGAGAGCCTTCCTTTGTTCAGAGGCACTGTTCTCGATCTCCCACATTTTTCCCACACAGGGATTTATGATGGCTCCCTATTAGACCAGAGATTACTTTAAATTCTTGGCGGTAGCATTTATAGCCTTCTATTAGGGTTTTTTTTTCCATCCCTATACTCCAGCTCTGTTCATGATAGCATTTTGTTTTATATAACTCAGTTGACATTTCCTTTTTCACATGTTGCCTGTCTTCTTTGCATGCATTTCAGGATCTGAGCCCTCAATTTTTTTTCTTCCCTTCCCTCCCAACTCTACATATCCTCAGGTTCATTTAAGAATTTATTTGTTCAATAAAGCTGAGTGAAGAGTAGAAGTGGTTGTAAACCGATACCAACAATGCCAATAAGGTTGGCATTCTGAAAACAGTATTTGTAAAGTTTAAGCAAATGGAAACCAATGGTTAGGTTCACCCATTATGTTAACCAAACTTGGCAACTTTAAGACTCGAGGACTTCAACTACCATAATTCCTCAGCCAGCCATGCTATCTGGAGAATTCTGGGAGTCCACACGTCTTAAAGTTGCCAAGTTTGGAGACCTCTGTGTTAAGCCATATTAAAATTTAGCTCTAAGTTAGTGTGCTCTATGAAATGACCCACTGTGCTTTGCCTGTCTATGATTTAGTCTTACTCATAAACAGGTAGTCCTTGACTTACAACAGTTTGTTTAGTGACAGTTCTAAGTTACAACAGCACTGAAAGATGTGACTTATGACCATTTTTTCACCCTTATGACCGTTACAGCATCCCCATGGTCGTATGATTTATATTCAGATGCTTGACAACTGGTTCATATTTATGATAGTTACAGTGCCCCGGGGTCATGTGATTATCTTTTGCAACTTTCTGACAAGCCAAGTCAATGGGAAAGCCAGATTCACTTAACAGCCATGTCAGTAATTTAACAAGTGCAGTGATTCACTTAATAAACGTGACAAGAAAAGTTGTAAAATGGGGGCAAAACTCACTTCAGAAATGTCTCGCTGAGCAACATAAATTCTGGGCTCAATTGTGGTTGTAAGTTGAGGACTACCTGTAGTCAGCATGACAATTTATTCAATACATCACAGCTGGTTTGATACCAGCCAGTGGTTATGAGTATTCACAACAAATCACCAACCTTGTTCCCATCTGGCTTGTCCACAAGAAAGATTTCACTCCAAATCTGGATGCCAGTTGTCTCCCGTTCAGATCCACCTCTCCAAGAAAATCCTGTGAGTGGTTCATTAAAATCCCCAATCCAATCAACCAACTCCTGCAAAGGAATGGACAAGTAAGTTATTATCCTTAGAGCCATGGAAAACCATGTGTCTTTGTGCAAATAGCTTACTTCTAGTATTGGTGGTCACCCAACAGCTGGCAACCAAATAATTACTTGGTACCTGGACATTTTCAGTAATTGTCCATTTGAATGAGAAGTAAGATAACCCATTTCAATTTGGACAAAGCATTTTACTAGAGAAGAAATTAAATTTTATATTTCAAATAGGCAATAAAAAGGTTAATTGGAATTTTCAGATTCCCCCTCCGGGTGGTAATGTCAGGGAGTAATAGATTACAGAGGGAGTGAGATGTCAGGTTACAGATTATCTCCATTTGTATGTGAAATGGTTGAAGAAATTCTCATTTATGAAATCACAGGTGCAAATCTACAAAACTGAGTCACAGGCAGGGGTGGGATCCTACTGGTTCAGTCCAGTTTTATAGAACCGGTAGCTCCAAAGAGCAGCTGACATGGAACTGGTTCGCTGGGACGAGGTTTTGGTCCGCTGTTTGGCCCACCCACCCATCTGGGCTCTAGGCTGTCTCTTAGTGGCTGCATTTTCCTCCTCAGCTGCTTAGCGCAGCACAGCTGAGTGCCGCTCGTCAGCTGGAGAAGGTAAATGCTTGCCGGAGATGGTGGTGCGCACACGTGTTTGATGCACATGCGCGCGCTTCCTGAACCGGTTGTTATGCTGGTCAGATCCCACCCTGGTCACAGGATACACTTAGGCATATTTTTGTTCTCCCAATCTTAATGTACCAAACACTTTTGGGTAAACTTACAAATAGCCATACACAGCTGTGCTGTATCCTGCACCCTGTATGCTGTAGTTGCACAACATGTGGAATCCCAACATGAAGTTTTCTACCAGTTTGGATGGATTCTGGCAGACAAATCCCACTTCCTACCCGCAACCACACATCTTGTCCCTTGTGACATTCTCACTGTTCAAGTGTCAAATCAAGTATTCAAGGGCACTTTGCTTAATTACATCTGCTTATAATTGCACCATATATATTGCAATCTGCAAGCTTGCTCATGTACTAAGCTCCTGAGCAGGAAGAATGAGGCCACAAACTCTACAGCAGCCAGTGCAAACCTACCATGTTGTGCATGTATCTCAGCATGAAGTCCATCAAGAACGATTTTCCCTTCCGAAAAGCCCCGGCCACGGACACAGCCACCACCTCCCGATCACAGACAGCTTTGGAGAGCAAGATGCGGTTGAGAGCAGCTTCGTCCAGCTCAAAGGAGTGGTCATCCTTCACAATGAGCACTTGTACCGGGTGGGCCTTCCCACCAGACTCTTCCTCTTCTGAGCTCCATTCATAGCTTTTTTCCGAAAACCCACCTGTATGATCAAGTCCCAATGAGGTTATATAGAGGCTTAGGCCAGGGGTGTCAAACTCAAGGCCCGGGGGCCGCATCTGGCCCATGAGGTGCTTAGACCAGGCCTGCGGGACTGCCCTGGAAATAGCAAAGGACCGGCCCGCAGTGCCTCTGCCAGTGAAAATGGAGCTTTGTTTTTGCTAGCAGAGAACTGCAGGAGGCCATCGTGGCTGAAAACAGAGCCTGGGCTCCGTTTTCAGCCGCGATGGCCTTCTGCAGCCCTCTATCAACGAAAGCAAAGCTCCATTTTCACTGGCAGAGGGCTGCAGGAGAATCCCCTCAGCCCCGCCTGGGCCACCACAGGTGCCCCTGACACAAGTGAGGTTGAGCTGGCCATGCCCATGCCCACCCCAGCCATGTCCTCCCAGCCCCCTAAGGTCAAACACAACCCCGATGCGGCCCTCAATGAAATTGAGTTTGACACTCCTGGCTTAGGCTAACATTTTACATCGACTAACCAAGCATAAGTTCGTACATATCAAGCCGCAGGAACATTGGGGACCAGAAGGGAGAAAGGATACAACAGAGGGAAAGAAAAGATGCTTAGCCACTCTAGTATTCTTTCCTCCAGACAGGTTTAAAGCCTTCCTAATAATTGGCTGCCTCAAGGGAAAGAGAAAATTCCCTCTGACAATTACAGAAATAGACTAGCAGCTGAATTTTACTTTATTTATGAAACATATTATATTACTGTCTAATAATACCTCTTGCTGGTTTTCAGTTACATTAATCATATTCTCTGCTTAAACCCAAAGATATTAGGGTAATTTAAAAGTTAGAAGAATGCTCAGAACTTTGTGTGCCAATATTTCACTTTCATTGTCTACCTGGCTTCTGCCACTGCTATAGGCATTGCACTCTGCATCACTAAAAGAGACCTTGGGATCTCAATTTTTTTGTTTCAGGTGCAGGAAAGAAGCCATTTAAATGGCCTGAGAGCAATGGCTATAGGGAAATCTGGCAGCTAAATGAAGATGCAGGCACCCTCTTCCACCTCTTGATTCTCTCCCAAAAAAATCCACTGCCCCGCATTTGTTTCAAAAGGCAAACGAAGTTCATAATATAACACCACATCCTCAGGTTTGCTCAGAAAGATTGCCTATACATTGGCAAGTCAGATACATCAAATAAAGAAGCATCATTGCGCTGACTGGGGAATCATGCCAACCAAACAAGAGACTATCAAATGTTACCAGACAAGGAAAATAGGCAAACGCAACCCAACTGTTTACATTGAAATAATATATCCCAGGCAAATACAGTAGATAAAAGGATAAAAAAAGCTCAACACTAGGATATTGTAGGGACAAGACATATACATGCAGCTATATTAATACATGATTACTGTGTAATGAAAAACTGTCTAAACACTGAATAGTTATCTTCCCATGTTCCAAGAGACATAGTGGCTCAGTGGCTTAATGACGCTGGAGATGGTCTCTGCTCTGGCAGTTTGAGCCTGTAGGGGTGAACTCCTGTTACTAGCTTCAGCTTCTGTCCAAGTAACAATTCAAGAGCATGTTCTATGCGAGTAGATAAATAGGCACCACTTTGGTGGGGAGATGAGTTGGCACTCCATGCAGGGAGTCAAATTTCTGTCATCTGAACCTTCCTGGCTGCGGCGCTCATTTGCAAGGCAGCTCTGGGAAGGGAGGGGCCTTGGATGACACTGTAGGAAGAGCGGCTCATTTTTCTTTCTAATGTGGTCAACTCATCCACCTGTGGCACATCTTGGGAAGTGTGACAGTGTTTCCTACAACAGACCCTTGGCAGGTTCAGGTACCTTGGCAGCCAAACTACTACTCTGCAATAGCATTGTGGTCTGTTGGCCAATATAACAATGCCATACGCTGATGATGATGATGATGATGATGATGATGATGATGATGATGATAATAATAATAATAATAATGCCATCAGTCAATTGCAGAAGGCAGCTTTACTTGGAACAGGTTCCAGCTTCCTTCCTGCGGCGATATCTGTAACACCATCAAACATCCAGATTTGCCTATAGGTAGATAAAAATGCCAAACCCAGTCTGAACATCTGGCTGACTGTACGATGAATAATAATAATAATGTTATTATAATTATTATTATCATTCACATGTTCCAATTGTTGGCCAATTCAGTTGCCTCTAACCACAGCAAGGCTCTTCTGAACGTGCATGCAGAACTTGAAGTTTTCACCCATAAGACTCTATAGGAAAATACATTTCCATACCATCCTAGTTCTGGAATACCATCTGTATTATACTGTAGAATTGTGCTTGGGCTGCCCACTTACTATAAATATTTTTCAGCCCCATACAAAATGGATCTAATTATACTAGCAGATATTTTCTAGATAGAGATCTTTCACATTACCTGCTCGCTGAACCTCCAAATATCAAAGGAAAAAAAACCTGGAGATTTTTGAGATTTAAACCTTTCTGCAAAAACATGTTCTGTTATTTAGCTACGCCCTTCTGTAGTAATCATTCATTCCAATTACAAACTCACTCTCAATGATCAGTGAATTTTTGCTGTTGTTGTTCAGATGCTAAGTTGTGTCTGACACTCTGCGACCCCGTAGGCCAGGGTTTCCTGTCCTCCACCGTCTCTCAGAGTTTCCCCAAATTCAGTGAATTGGGCAGTGCTTTAAATTTCTTTCTCTAACGTAGGCAACAGGATGCTTCTGTTTCCTGATGTGGATGTGCAGTGATGACAAAACTATAGTTGGAATCAAATTATTTGTAATTGTCTAAGGAAAAAAATGAAATACAGGTAGCCCTGGACATATGACCATATTGGACCCTGCCAATTATAATAGTAAGAGCTCACAGTCATAAAGCAAGTCATCATGTGAACAATCCAATTTACAACCTTTCTTTTGCTGTGGTCATTAAGCAAATCCATTGTTTGCTATGGGGCATTTTTGCTGACAACCAGAATAAAATGCCGATTTTTAGCAAATACATTGTAAATCAAAGTCATATGATTGTGGGATGTTACAAACATCCATAGATGTGGGTCATTTGCCAAATGTGCAACATGCCGGGGGGGGGGGCAGCTGCAGAAATTTCAGAATTGGGTCATAAGTACCTTTTGGAGGGACCATCCATAAGTTGAGGGCTATTTGTAGGATGTATCGGATAACCCTATATCCATTTTTCCTGGGTACACTCTGGATTTTCCATTGCTCTGCCAACATCTTATTGTTACTTTTACTATTATATTAACATCAGGTTGCTTAAATTAAAAGATCACTGGGAATCATTTGCCTTAAAAAGCCTGTCTTCTCACACGTACAATGGTATCTGAACTTCATCCACCACCATTCAGAATCCTTGGGATTTTTCAGGCCCTGGTACTTCTCTAGCTTCTGTTTCAACTGTTTCAACTCCTACCCTCAAAACGACACTATAGAGCACTGCACACCAGAACAACTAGACACAAGGGCAGTTTTTCCCCCAAACGCCATCAATCTGCTAACAAATAATTCCCTCAACACTGTCAAACTACTTACTAAGTCTGCATTACTATTACTATTAATCCTCTCATCCATCCTTTCACCCATCTCCTCCCACTTATGATTGTATGACTGTAACCTTGTTGCTTGTATCCTAACAATGTTTATTGAATGTTTCCTAGTATGATTTAATTGCTTATTGTACCCTATGACTATTATTAAGTGTTGTACGTTATGATTCTTGACTCTTGATGAATGTATCTTTTCTTTTATGTACACTGAGAGCATATGCACCAAGACAAATTCCTTGTGTGTCCAATCACATTTGGCCAATAAAAATTCTATTCTATTCTATTCTCATATGCCCTCTTCCTGATATTGCTGTCACTTGGCACTACTACATCTATCACCATCATTGTCTTTTGGTTCTGGTCTACTACTACAATAATTGGCTTGTCCATGTGGAAGTCCCACAGGATCTTAAGACAAACACACACACACAGTGGGCACTTTGGCTAATTTGCATTTAAGAATTGCTTAAGAGTAAAACACCGATTAAAAATGGAACCTCCATCTACAAGACCGATATAGCTAATACCGTGTTTCTACAACAATACGGCCTCCCCCAATAGGAAGTCCCAGCATGTTTTATCGGAATAAAATCAAATTAAGCTCCTCCCCCCAAATTAAGTCCTATATTAAACATGCGAAATGGGGGGGAATGGCGGGGGGGGCTTGCCGTTAGGAAGTACTTTTGTTGCATACCCGGATATGGTGCTGCCTGCGTTGACTTTGGCGTTGGTGGGGCACTTTGTATCAGGAGACCTTCTGCCACCATTGCTTTCCCTTCTCCTGTGCTGCCGTGGCTTTTAGAGCAACGCTGTGGCGTTTGGCGCAGCCACGCGCAGCCAGCCAGGGCTCCTCCCTGCAACTGGAGCCTGGCGGAGACACTCGGCTTCAGGCGCTCCTGTCACTGCCTTCCCTTCGCCTTCAAAGGCAAAGCCAATTCTTTTAAAAACGACGCCCTACTACTGATATGACAAAGTCTCCCCTGCCCGAGAGGACAGCCCAACCCCACGTGGGGAGGTGAATCTCTCGCGGCTGCAGCACAGGATCGGCCCACCCCGGGAGAAGCGCCCAGCCGCCATCCCTGCCTGGCACCGGGTAGAGGGCGAAGAGCTTTGCTTGGGGCACCCAGCGCAGCTGACAGGTGGGCCCTCCTGCCTGGCAGAGAAGCTCTCGCCAAGGCAGTGAGCGCCTCCCCGCCGGGCCCTCCGCTCATCCCGCCAGGGCCGTGCCACAGCTGTGTGGGCTGGGCAGAGCCGGGAAAGCGAGCCGCGGGTGCGCGCCCACCTGCCAAGTGAAAGAGCTGGGCCGACCCAAGCTTGGCTTCCTTCCCAAGTCCCTCCAGCCTGAATCTGATGGGGCCACTGGGAGAGGCCGCCCGAGGCAGTGATAGTGCCCACCCCTCCGTGGACAGGGAGGCAAGGCGATGGCCTGAGCCACATCCTC